TTCAGGAAGATAACTAATTGCTTAACCATTTCCCTGCTATTGATTTCTGTGCATAACATTGTCATCTTCTGAAGCTATTTTGTTTAAAATCTAAGTATGCCAGAATTCAGTTACGCATTTTTATAACATAATTAGCTTGTTATAAATCACAAACAATTCAAACCATAGTAATAAAAATTAGTTTCAAAGATATACTGAAACGGCCCTTGCCAAAAGTGGGATACTTATGAGTAACATGTTATCAACACCATTCATTTTTGTTAAAACAACTACTAAAAAGTAGTAGTAGTTATTCAATTTAGTGTTATATGTCAACCAGAAGTATATGATTATACTTCTGCTAGTATTAAAATTCACACTATTTAACTTCTTTAATTTCAACATGTTTCTTATCCAGCTAGCCCAGATCAGCTTTGTCTTTCTGTGTGTGTGTGTGTGTGTGTGTGTGTGTGTGTGTGTGTAGAGAGAGAGAAACAGAATGAGTCTAGGTCCTTGCATTAAAATATCTTAAGTTGCTGATGCTGAAAAACATAGTTGGGTTCACACTTTAGGATAATGGCTAAAGCCAAGCCAAGAAACCACTTTATTGTTTGTATAATTTAGCCAGTGAATTTGCTATAGTTTATGACAGGGACTAATAACCTTTAGAGATGGTGCATGCCATTATATAATCTCATACAATATTGAAGATGCCAAGCACATAACTGCATTTTTTTGTAATGCTAAAATGTCATGAGTTCCTGAGTTCCCACAAAAGAATGGTAAGATCCCATGTGAGAGCACAGCATTTTAAAAAAAAAGGATTCTGCAGGATGTATTTAGAAATGTTGATGCCTGTGTGTTACCCTCACCTATGGCTATAGTAAACCCTTGCCTCTCTTCTGATCCATTTCACTGCTCTTTGGAGAAAAAAATGGACAGAGAGAGATGACTGGATACTGCCAGCATCTCTCTTTCTTTATTATCTCATTCCAGACAAAAACAGATGTGTGAGGACAGTGCTGATGCCTGACGTATATACTTGGGAAACAGTCATCTCTACTGTGTATATATTGAAACTCAGCTGATGGGCCTGTAAGTAGGACAACTACTTTATGAAATATTATTTCCTTTAAATGAATATGCTAACATATAAAGTATTTGTTAGTGGCTTTGTGTACTTCTGATTCCAAAAGTATTTGGAACTGGTTGTCATAGGAAAACTGAATCAATGTTCCATGCAATATGTAGATGGATTGTACATATAACCAGTAATGTAAAGCAATTAAAAATCACAGTAACTACCAATGATCTGTGATAACATACTGAACTTTGATATTTCCTTTTCTTTAGTGATTTCCTGTTGAATCTCAAACATAAGAATCAATTGTCTATAGCAGGAGTAACAGTGTAGGTTTTTCCTCAAAATTAAGGGAATGATTAAAATTAGCCAGCACAAAATTAAAAACAAATAAATAATATTTAGTATTAAAATACATCATTTTAAAGTAATATTTAAAATTTATTATAAAATGAAGATGAAGATTGATTTTGAAGGGATCTTTTCTTTCCTCCAAAAGGAATATTTTGCTGTTCTCCAGACTAGCTGGATGCCTGGCTAAGATTATAGTTGTACTGGCTTGGTGATTATTCTACAAGAGAAGGCATTTGAGAAGGTTTGACATAATTAAAATTCTGCATTGAATAAACATTCACTTTTCTTTAAAAATAAAATGATTCTCATTTATCTAAAAAAAAACCAACCAAATTCCAAATGCTCAATTTGAGTTAATACATACTGGTTAATGTATGACAAGGGAAAAGACAGCTAATTTTGTAAAAGACAAGTTAATTCTCCTAGAGAATTACCAGCTCAACTGGTAGCATATTTTTGATTATTGCAGCTTTAAATATCTATTTTTCTATGAAAGATGAAGAGCCTCAATATATTTGTCTCAGATTTAGGAATTTTATGGCACTAATTCACCTACTAGGAGCAAAGGGCAGGAATGATAATTGTCTATTTTCAAGTTTCCCCAAATTGTGAGTAGTGATGTAAGTAGAATGCAACTTTATCCTTGATACATTCTGTACTCTTTTAAATGACCAGATAGGCTTAACAGATGTAAAGTCTCTGTGCTCCGATTTCCCCCCCCCCACCCCAAAACTATATTCTCCCAGTCCAAATACTATGTTGGTTCTAGGTAGGACAGTGAACACTGATATTGGATTTTTTTTTAAAGTTAGAATGGCAATTGTTGACATAACTGCTTTGTTTGGTTCTGTTGGCAGAAATCTCATGCAGTAGACTTAAAGGTTATTTCATGGAAACGGTAATAATAGACAAATGACTGCCTGGATTTCGGTCAATTATAGAATTTTTCCATACTTCAACAAGAGAGATTCTTTTTCAGATACAGACTTTGCCTTTTGATTTTATCTTAAAGGGAATGTATTTCTCTCAGATCTGTTAAATATGTTTTAACAGAAAACACATGTTTGTATTTTGCCTCCAACAATTAAAAAGAGTAGGTGAAAGAAGTTCTTATTCAAAGTAAAAATTCTGAAAAAGAGACAAAGAACCCCCCCCCAAAAAAGTAAGAGTTAGTTGATCTAAACTCTTAAATAAAACTTTTAAAGGTGTTATTTCTATAGCAAACCAGCTATCCAGTCAAGATATATCTGGATGATACAGAGATGTGGGAGACAGTATTGGAATCTCTTGTGCTTTGACCTGAAAACCTAAAATCAGAATTCTACCAAGATGAGGTTGATTCATCTAATGGAATGTTGAAAGCTATGATCAGTTAGCTGGATGAAGAAATGCTATCTTCTCCAAAAGGGCTTATACTGGCATTTTCTAGTAAGAGAAGCAAATATGGCTTCCAAAACCATGCAGTGTCTTGGAAGTGGTTCAAAATACCTTTTAGCTTCAAATACAGATGCTATAATTGCATACCGAAAGGCTGGGACAGGGCGTGTAGGCAATATTTAGCCAATGTAGTTTATGAAAGCAGTCAATGATGTGCTAGTGTTGTTTACATTTTAATTCTTTCCACAGGCAAGACGTAGGTAGTCTTGAGTCTCTGCATCTGCTTACCGCCCATGCTGCTGTCATGCTTACCAAAGACATTAATGCCTACATATTAGTGAAATGCTATTCCAGAAGACAGAGAAGGTCTTATATTGCCCTAGCCCTAAAATAGGCCACAAGTGAGAAACTTGTTTGATGCTGAAGACCACTTTGGAGAAAGAAAAAAAAAATACCCTTCAGGTGTATGAAGGTTAGATCATTTAAATATTTTTAATAAATGAAAGTTAATAAATCTTTAAGATTCTAAGAATGGAATTCACAGGTTGGTTCAAGAGTTTCACATGTTAATGAGAACACTTTTGCAAGAATCTGAGTTTCAAAGATGTCCCAAGAAAAGGATATTTAATAAAAATAATGAAAATACCCTGGTTACCTGTAAAGAAGAAGGATTGTGGATTGATATGATACCCTGTTTTTTTCCTGTTCCATATTTATGGAATAATCAACAATGGGAGCAAAGAAATAAGAGTTAAAATTAATTGTGCATGATCTTAAGACTAATAGATAAAGAGAAACAAAGCTAATTTAATAATTTCAAAGAGATTGGGCAGTGTAGGGCTTTAGGGTTTAATCACTATGATTTAGACAACAGGTTCCTGGTGCTTGGTTGACAACTGTGGCTGATGTCTTCAGAGAAAAAGATGGCCACAACCACAGTTGCCAGCGAAACATCAGAAAATCTATTGTCTAGACTCTAGACTCTAGGCTATCATCACTAAACCCTGAAGCCCAACACAGCACAACAGATACTGGCCGTGAAAGCCTACACCAGTATATTCAAAGAGATTAGTGCATGCAAAAGAATATAGACTCTGCTGATTTCCAAAGTATTTAGATATGTTTATATTTCACTGCAATGCACAACTGTTAATTATTTTAGAATAAAAAATTAATAACTGTAAATCCATGAAGACTGGCCTGTACTGGTAAATCAGTATTAATGGGCATTAAACTCCCAGAAAAATCTATGTTCATTTCCAGAAAGTGTGCAATGTTTTTGAAAGGGATAGAAACTGCAACAGCAATGCTTAGTATGTTAAAACTCTGCCTCTGATGGAACTGATTCATTAGATGGTGCTTTAATTTAATTCTCCATTCGTAGAGCAGGAATACCCTCACTCACAACAATAAACAGTGAATTGGTCTTAATATGTAACACAGCCTTTCACTTCACTCCTAGTTGTCAGAAGATGAACTGGGATTCTCAGATTTCACAGTAAGTATTGGTTAAGGAAAAAGCTGATAAAATTGAGTCAAGCCTATTCTATCAGGGGTAGAATCGCCATTATATTCTACACATCATCATTTCTTTCTAAACAAAAATATGACTTCGGATATTTTTAATAGTTTGATAGTAAAGGATTAGCACCTCTGGACAGTGGAATCTTGGATTCATTCACAGAAGGGAATGGTTCAGACATGTTATACCTCCAAGGCCTGTGTGCAGTACCTACTGAAAAAACCCACCCACCCATCCATCCCCTTATGTTGCCTGAACCTCTCTTATGCTCTAGAACGGTTGAGGTACTGAATATTTTAGCAGGCTACCAAACCTCTTCATTTAAGGGAAATGGTAAACTACTTAATTGGCACATGACACTTTACCACAGTTTATATACTCCAGTCAATCAGTTCACTAAAAATGCAGTCCTGGAATCTTTGGCAAGGCAGGAAACCTTGTGTGCTTATACCCAGGTTTTATAATGAGATTAAATTAATTTGACAGCCATTTTCATACCTGGGAGGGAGCTGTAATACACACCTAACTTTTTTTCTCTTCTTAATTCAAGCAAGGCCAGCACATGTGCTTGGTAGTGGATCTCATCTATGCTGGGCACTATTTCATGGAAGTCAGGTTTCTGTCACAGATCTAAGGCAAACATCACAATTTACAGGAAAGAAAATGAGGACATCAATACATTGTGCGTTGTTAGGAGATACACAACCTTTATAACACAGTAGCAGTTATTATTATCTCTGGGTTTTCTATGTCCTTTTTGCTTTGGATCATCCTCAGTTCCAGCTGGGCTGAATTAGGTTTGTTTCCTTCTCCAGCTTGGGCTTAAAAGAAAACAAACAAAAAACACAATACCATGGAACTTTAATATTAATATAAAACAGCACAGAAGAAAATCTCAGTTCTCCTAGACCCACAACTGTCCCATCATCAATAAACTTTACTGTCATTCTACTACAGTTTTAAGATCAGTGCATGAAGGTTAAATATATGGGGCATTAATAAGAATTGTGAAACCTGTGAGTCTCCGATATGCAAGTTTTTTTTTGTAATGATCCCAAATCCCTGAAGGCCTGTCTCTCGGAAATAAATATAGCCTGCTCTCACTGATTGTTGGAAGAGGTTAACAATTTATTTACAGGTGGTCCTTTACCTACAATCATAATGGAGCCTGTCCATTGTGGTTGTAAATCATGGCAGTCGTAAAATGAGTCACCCACATAACCAACCCGATTTTAGTGAAGTAGTATAACTATGTGTATGTGTCTCTCAGAGTTATTGCTATCTTCTTTTTTTGGTTCTGTTATTTTAATTTCATATATTGAAAACTGCATTTTATGGCTTACTTATTTGTGCTTTCAAGTTGCATTTACATTGAAAAGCGGACTAGAAAATTATTTTTTATCAACAGTGCTATCAAAAATAGGCAGAGTAATAATAGCAATTTGTTGCAGCTGCATATTTCCACAAAATCCCAAGCAGGGCTTGAGAGTAACATTTCTATTTGTTGTTTTCTCTCTAGTACTTATTAAGCTGCATGCCAATCCATTTTGTGGCCAACATTCATAATCAGAACTATTTTCTGTAAATGGGGCAACTTTCCCCATTCCAGCATCACATTAGCTGGAAATTAGAAGAGTTGTAATTTTAATGCACCTGGTCTGTTCCACTTTAAAACTATCTCTGCCAGTAGCTCTTGCAATACCTTTTATACGTAAGATGAAAGGAAGATAAGAGAATAGAGCACCATAATTTCCCTTTCTGTTTCTAATGATAAAGCTACAAATTGTGGCCCAAATTAAGACAGTTCAGAAAGTAACTGGATCCAACTAATTTCAAAGATCAAACAGACAGATTTGTAGAAAGTTAAATTACTTTCTCTCAAAGGTATAAAAATTTGGCAAATATCTGTAGTATATGAAACAGGGAATTAATTTAATCAGTACTGCAAGGACATTTGCATATAAACCTGACTGTTATTTTGGCTGGATTGTTACATAATATTGCTGTTGTCACTATTACTGAAGAAGTAATGGTGGCATGTTTTACACATAATTTAAGCCATATATGACTTAATGGGAGTCATAATGGTCTCAGCAACTTACTGGATTTACATAACAAATTAGGCTAAATGTGATAATTAGCCCCTTGAGTTTTGTCCTTATGATTAATTTATTGTTTCATGAGTTGTTCAAACCCATAATTCATCAAGCCATAGTTAGGTAAACCATGAGTTACTATATTATATGAATAGAACCATTAAGTCAGCACAGAAATCTAGTTGCCTCGTTAATCTCCTTTATTATCTGTCAACTTGATCCTTTCAACTAGAGATACAGGAAACTGAACTGGGGACTTGAGCAAATCACATGACACTCAGCAATGACACTTTTTAAGTAAATCTTCCAATAATAAATGAATATACTGTATGCAGAACCATATGCTAAATAAATAAATAACTGTATGCAGAATCATTGTGACATTGACCTACCCTTTGCACTCTTGATGGTCCTTTGTATAACATGTTGCATTGCTGATACTGTTTTTTCACAGGCCATCTGCAATTGTAAGGAAAAAAAAGTTTTACAATATTACTATTTCATTGACTCTGACCAGATTGAATAATGATTGGCAGTTTAAATAATTATTTAAATTGGGTAAAAAATACAAATTGAAGTATTTTACTTTTAAATTATTTTCCTATTACAGAAATGCTGTCCTGACTGACACACCATGCTAAGCCTGACAGAAGTTGGTTTGTTATGTTTTTTCCTCTGGTGGGTGAAACTATAGATTGCGGTTTAACATCAGTCCAAAGTTTGCCTTATTATGTTAAAACAGAAGCTTAGCATCATTTCCAAATAGAATTTTTTATGGCCACCCAGAATTTTACTAAAGTAATACATAGCCTTATTTTGTATAATCTCTTGATCCTGTTGAGAAAACATTTTTTTTCTATAACTGATACAGAGAAGAAATGAAAAAAAAAATCAATCCATACCTTAAGATTGTCCGGGTGTTTGTGAGTCCAAGCCAAGAGCATGGCAGCAAATAAGTCTCCTGTTCCAACAAAGACAGCATCTACTTTGGGAGATTCTATTCGGATCCTTTGTGTCACTATAGTGCCATCTGCTGTAGCTAATAAGGCATTATTACCTGTTAGTTATATTCTTCTGTTATGTAATCATATAGAAACAGTACATCTTAGCATGGCTTTGTCATACATTACAGTAAAACTAGGGCTTGGATTTAGATGCACTGATACTGAACAAGCTATGTTCAATATTGAGTGCATGTCGCAATTCCGTGGGAGCACAAGAAAAAAATATAGTATTGAACTTTGACACCAAACTGAATTGGGACTTTGCAGAGTTAAGGATTTTTCCCCTCAGTCTTTAGGAACGCGTGCCTTTCCTGAAGTCTCCTCTTTCAATGAAAACTTGGAATCTCTTGGAGAATGTGGAATGAAAAGTTTAGAAGTGAAATTAGTTACTTTCTGTTGACTCAATTACAGTGTGATAACATGCTCCAATGAGTCAATACATCCAAAAAACTGTTTCATTCACAGTGCTTTCCTTCACCCACTGACATCTACATGTGCAGTATATACAGCTACTTATGATACGAAATTCTGTGTAATTGGCATTTCAGATCCTGTGCAGCTTCTGCGTGATGTGGGTGATATATCTAACTCACATATGTCCACTTATAAAGTGATTCAGTTTGACTTACTTTAATAAATACTAAAGCTATACAATATACCCAATTATTTTAAAAAGAGTGAGAGCTAGAGAATGGAATGGTGAATTACACCCATTTTAAACAAGTCAACATTAAAAGAATGCAAATTACAAAGGGAACAAGTACACCTAGCCATTCTTAAAAGACAGCTTATCAGAACAGAAAATATTTTTAATTGCTTAATATATCTCTTGAATATAACTGCCATCACCACTATTACTGAAGATGGCAAAGTTACAATCAGCCTATGATCAGTAGTCTTCATGTTGTAAGTAAGATTATTTTATATCGTATTATTGCAACAACAAAGCAATGTTCTAGTAAGCAGAAAATAACTTACTCATATTAACTAATACCTGCTCAAAAATAAACTCTATTTAATTCAAAGATCCATACTCTTAAGTGAGATAGGATTGCAGCTTAAATATTCATTGGAATAAAGTTTATATGTTTCTGCAATTTGTGCTTTCTACATTTGAACAGTACCTGAAAACAAAGCATTACTTTTATATTAACAGAAATGGGAAAAATTGGGTAAGTTCATGCTACCTGTTTTGTAAATGCTCTAACAATAGAAGACTATTTATTAAAAATAAAACATACTTCTCCTTTGGCTTCCTAATGCAATCAGATAATCATTTCCTGAAGGTGCTGGAAGGTCTGAGCTGGTGATTACAACCATTTCTGGTCCCATATTGTGGAGCATATCCATTACCTTTTCAAATATATGGGGGAAAATATGTTAGTA